TTCCTAGGTTGTAGGAGCATAAAATGGCTGAGTCATTTCAACATTATTTATGCAATAAATGTTCTTTTCCTACATTGTGCAGAAATTAATGCAGAAGAAAAACTGAAAGAATAATTCAAACTTATATGATACCAACCAGGTAAACCCAGTTGATACGTGCCTGACATCTCTTTTATCTACTCTGTAGTTTTGCTTACTGTTTTTTGTAACCATTTGTTTGATTGTATGAGGTCACCAACTATGAGATGTGAATCTAAAATTACTTTAGGAAGTTCAGCTAGTGCCAAGTAAATGCTGATGAAGTCTGGAGAAGGTGCTAATGTCAGGCACTCAGACTGATTCTGCATTGCTGGAAGAACTCGATGCCAAGTCAGAATGCCTGCACATCTGAGGACAATGTTATTAGGAAAAGTTAAAACCAGTGCAAACTACAGATTGCATCTGATTTTGTCCAACAGAGGGAAAGTGAGATCACTTACACCACCTAAGGCTTTAGGAGTTATTGGGAAGGAGGAGGAGGCCCTTTTTTAGATGGTGGTAATTTGGCCATCTTGAGGAAATTTAACAGCAATGGTAAATCATGTTTTGGACATTCATTTTTCTCCCCTGTAATTCAGGAGGCATCAATATTTTTGAATGAGATTTTAGTATTTACAATTTTGATTAATCAGAACTCCTATCATCATACGTGGAGTAAGACATTTATCTTTCAATTTGGAATAAGTCAAATATATTTACAAAAGTGCTCACCACCACTGCCAAAACATTGTACTGTTTCATATTGGCCATTGATAGGAATGTGTCTCTGCAGCTAAAAATGCTGCTTTACTGCAAAAGCCAGAAGGTAATCAAGGAAAAAGAATGGGAGGAAGTGACCCTACTAAAGAAATGAGATGGTTATCACTATGAGTACATGTCTCACTGGCTGTGGACTGGAACTGTCCTGTTCTTTGGATTTAAGCAGAGGGCACAGGATGTGTACTCTTAGATACAGAATGTATACTACAAACCTTATGTTCCCTTTTGCCTCTTTTTGCTTTCATTTGATGCATGAAAGAGATACTGATTTGCTTGTTGTAAGAATGCAAGTATGAACTGTTAAGGTAGTGATGACACCAAATATTTTGTGCTCTTTATCAGTAGCAAAGGAATTCAGGGGGATTTCCACAGCTTTTGTCCTGTTGAAAGAAATTAATTTGGTGGCTGTTGCAAAATATAAATGTAATAAGTGTTTCTACAAAAAAATGTCCAATGCTGTTATGACTGTATATTTCTCTACATCTACAAAAGATAATCCATACAATATAATCTGTACAATACAAGTTAGAAAACCTTTAAGTGCTGCTAACATTTTCAGGTCACTGATAAAATAGTAATAAAAATGGCTGTAGATTAAGTAACAATCATCACATATTAAAAATATCCTCTCATATATGACAGCATAGTAAAACACAAATCTGTAATGAGTGCAATTTTTACTTCTGCTTGTCACTTGTGGTGTCACATAAAACTGAGGAGACACTGTATGGGAGTCTTAAATGCTTTCCATGAGCATACTTATCTCTCCCCCTTTTCACAGGGGGAATTGCAAACACATGCCTGTTCTCTTTTCCATCCTCCAGAGTAATGTTTCTTTGGGGACCATATTTCACAGGGCCTATTTTGATCCTGTCTTCATGTTATGTTTATTGACACTATCTGAGTGAGTAGGGCTGAAAGATTTCTGATGTGTCTAAGATATTCACTAAAATCAGGAAGACAAGAAATGCAAGAAATGTATCTTTTAGATAGACTTCTCTAAAATAAAAATAAATATAGCTCCCTGTATGACATTTAAAAGTAATGACATGAATGGATTTTGCTATATTTTGTTTGTTTTGCCACAGTGTAGAATTAAAATACTAGCTAGAAATGCACTAAACTTTAACATTTCGAGATTTAAACAAAAAGCTGCATGTAGAGTAAATGTTAGTGAATACATGCATGACAGTTTGTGTTTTGCAGCATTTATGCTTTTACATTGATTCTAGCAAAGGTTTTCTGTTTAAAACAATTAACATTTTTTACAGTGTGACAGTTCAGAACTTGTAAATGTGAATACCTATAGCATTACCTTTGCTAGCATTGCACTATACAAGAAAAAACTTCTGGGGTACCAATGGCCTCTACACACATACTGTTTCTCCTACGCTATAATGTTAGTATTGATAAAAGCAACTGGAATTATGTCTGTAATTGTTCTTTTGAACCAGCTCCTTTTCTGAAAAGGATTCTTATAAAATACTTAAACTCTCTTGCTGCCATCTCAATAATAATGCTGTTAAAATGTTTGTTTTAAAACAGAGTCAATCTCACCCTTTTAAATGGATCACTTCATGTAATATCATGCTTTTCTTTTCTGTTCTTTGGAAACCTTTCCTTCACTGACTCTCCAAATCCCACTCCATTTTCTAAGGTTATATATATTTTAAAAGTTACTCTCATCTCATGAACATCTATTGTCAATGCCCATGGTTCACCTCACATCAAATAATCGTCAACTGTCCCTACACAAGGTTCTGTCCTGTCACTGCAGGGGATGTAGTGCAGATGTACGGAGATAAGATACACAAAATGGTCACATTTGAAGCTGTTTTAACTGTCTGTTACAGATCATTCTGACCCAAGAGCTTTGCCCTGGTGGGTGGTTAACAACTATGAGAAAAAGTAAAGTGTACCATCTGCCTCCTTTTGTGTTTGCCCGTAATTTGTTTTCAAGTTATTTATTCACTAAGCAGGGCTAAGAGCTTCAGTGTGGTCAAAAATATATAACGAGATAGATTTGATGGCATAACTTCCATAAACACAGTTTTATAAACTGTAGAGTAGTCTTGACACACCAGGCAGCATGGTCGGATGAAAATATTGTATCATGGCTTTCGGTCTGGCTGGAAATCTACCTGGAGGGTAATTTTAAACAACTTTGTGCCATTATGAAAATGGAAGGGGAATGTGGTAGGATTTTGCAAGGGGTGTTCTTACCCTGCTACCATTCAGTGGTTTTGTTATTGGCCAGACACTACTAGAAGGTGCAAAGAGCCAGAAATATTCTACTGGTGTGAGGTTTCGAAATCATATGATGTGGAGAAACAGTCTGGAAAAGATAAATTTGCATTTGACATGGGCAAATGTTAAGCCCTATCTTGGCAGGGATACACAGGTAGGCAGCTGAAGGATGTAGTGTTGGCACTATGGCTGCCTATGGGTTCTGAGGTGTCTGGACCATAAATTGAATGTAACACCTTACTGCCATCTTACAAGGCAAATATCATCCTGGAAAACAGAATGAAGAATAGTTTGAGATAAGTGGTGATATAACCTTTTTTCTAAGCAAAATGAGTAACAGATTATTATAGAGTCAGTTACTTCACCTTGAGGGAGACTTGGATCACTTGAAACTCTACAGTAGGACCCAACTCCTAGGCATGCAGAAAATATTTCCCACAAAAAAACTTGTAGGTTCAAGATTTTTTAGACTGAAGAAGAAACATTGGAGGAGATGTATGTGAAAGGAGTCTCAACTTTGTAAGAGAAATAGTAGCATTTCATTGAAACAATGAAGATTTGTAGGGGGTGTGTCTAAGATACTAGGGGACATACCAGGGCAAGGATGCCCAGGGGATCATGCGCCGATATAGACAACCCTATTGGTTAAGGAGGTCACATGGTTCTGGGAGATAAAAGGGAGTGCGGGTTTGAAATAAAGTCTCTTTGGTTACCATCTCACAAGAAGCGGACTGCATTTCTTTATCATATAAAGGCCAGCAGACATGTGCACCCTACAAAGATTCAGACCAGGTGTTAGGGAAAAGTTCAAAACTAAAAAGACAGTCAACCTCTGTGTAGACTCTCTGGATAGAGTAACGAGGTTTTATCTGTGTAAGTCTTCAGAGCTGTGGTAGAGAAGTAAATGCTGGGATATGGTGGTATGGTTGGTCTTACCTTTTTTATAGTAATGAACAAATAACATATTCTAGGGATCCTTCTAGCTTAATGTTGCTGGACCTTGACAGTAAATTAGCATTCACACGCAGTTCAAAAATGGCTCCTTTATTTAACAAACACAGTTAGAGTAAACATAAAGGCATAGACAGCTATACTAACATTTTTGTCCTTTGCTTTTACTCTGTTGACTACTGTTAAGCTACTAGTTTACTAAAATATAATTCTACTATTACTAAACTGTACTACATCAGATTGTAGACATCTTACAATCCTGGTTCTTGCCATTAGCTCACTATATTTATGTTCATCGTGACTGGTAAGACAATTATTCTTCCTAGGAAATTAAGGCTGAGAAGACCGTGGTTTAAACTAAAACACAGTGGAGTAAGGATAGTCTTGGTAGTAAATTTTAGATGCTTAAAAATTACAGAAGAGAATTGTTGATCCTTTTATGAATTTGGAAGAAAGGCTAAGATGTATACATTGATTCAGTGAACATTTTCCAGTAAGAGAATAATCATAATAAAATAATACAAATTTATAATCTGTCTATCAATGAAACGTAAAGCTATATATAAAGATTAATTAGCCACACTCAGTAATTTAGTATTTATCAAAAAATATGGCATTATTTTATTCTACCTGGAAATTTTGAAAATGTCTAGATACTATGAATGTTACAATTTGTTTAGATGCCTCCTCTCTCTGTTATGAGGGCAATGACTCTGCAGCTTTGGCTGAAATTTGCCCTGACACTCACAAGAATAATTCCCTTGCAAGAAGTGAGCTGTGCCTTTTGCGACTGAGAGAGGTCATATCTATTCCATTATGCAGCTGAAATACCTCCTCAATAGCTTGGGAAGGCACACCAGCCCTGGAACAGCCAGCTTTATTAAATCAGTCTTTATGTATTTGTGTGGGCGCATCAAGTAGTGCTCTGGTGTACAGTGTGGAATGTAAATTGCAACAATAAGCTAGAGAATTTATAGGGTATTTACATTTCTCAAAATAGATGTTTGATGGGAAAGTTCTTCATGTTATGGAATAATTGTCATGTGCGTATTCTGTATAGAGAACATTTCTTACAGACATCACGTTTTATATAGTCAGTTTTATGTTCAGAAGGGACTGTATGTTTCTATGGAGAAAGGGTCATTTTTGAAGCATTTTTAAAATGTGTTTATCAAAATTTAATGTGTTGGTGCTTTGTTATATATTCAGCTTCAGAGTGAAAATGCAAAATACTGAAGCTCTTGTAGAAACTAATTTTTTGCAATTATTAAAATGAAACACTTCAGATTACAAAAATTACATTTGTTGAATCTATTTCATTTATTTATAATTCGATTTCAAAAGTTTTGCTTATGACCTCTTTCCTCTCCCCAGGCTCTCTTCAAGGTGCATGGCTCCCTGAGATTAGCTCAGTTGGTTAGAGCCTGGTGTTAATAATGCCAAGGTTGTGGGTTTGATCCCTCTATAGATGATTCGCTTAAGAGCTGGACTCCATTATGCTTGTGGATCCCTTCCAACTCAGAATATTCTGTGATATTGGCGAAAAGCTCAGGCTAGTGTTCCCAGGGGGAAAATGTGTGGATGGGTCTTTAGGAACAAGGTATGCTGAACTGAGTCCTGTCATTCTTGGTGACTTTCAAACTTCTGAAAAAGGAAAGACAAATCCCTTAAGTACAGCAATCCTGAGGACGTTATTCTTTTGCAAATTTTTGGTGGTGGCTGTGAAAATAAAAATCTTTTTCCATTTGACAAGACTTCATATCAAGTTTTGAGTCCTGTCTCTGAAAGGAAAAGAACCTCAGTTTTAATTTAACTATTATATAACTTAAAGTCTATGTGATTTGCCAGAGATTTGTGATTTATAAAAGAAATTCAAGTTCAACTGCAAAATATGTGGTCTATTTGGAAGAGACTTTTTATCACAGTATATCCTGATTTGGAAGGCAGCCACAAGGCTAATCTAGTCCAACCCTTAGCCCTGCACAGGACCATCTCTTTAGAGTCACACCACGTGCCTGGGAGTATCATCCAAACACTTCTTGAACTCTGTTGGGCTCAGTGCTGTGACTACTTACCAGGGAAGCCTGTTCCAGTGCCCAACCACCCTCTGGGTGAAGAACCTTTTTCTAATATCCAGTCTAAACTTCTTCTGACACAACTCCATGCCATTCCCTCGGATCCTGTCACTCGTGACCACACAGAAGAGATCAGTTCCTGCTCCTCCTCTTCACCTCGTGAGGAAGTTGTGACTGCAATGAGGTCTCCCTTGTGTCTCCTCTTCTCCAGCTGAACAGGCCAAGTGACCTCAGCCCCTCCTCATACGGCTTCCCCTCAAAGCCCTTCACCATCTTTATTGCCCTCCTTTGGACACTCTCAAATAGCTTAAAGTCTTCCTTATATTGTGGCACCCCAAACTGCACACAATATTCCAGCTGAGGCCACTCCAGTGCAGAGCAGAGTAGGACATTCCCCTCCCTCGACTGGCTGGCGATGCTATGCTTGATGCCCCCCCAGGACACGGTTGGCCCTCCTGGTTGCCAGGGCACTGTTGACTCATATTCAACTTGCCATCAATGAGTACCCCAGGTCCCTTTCCACAGCACTGCTTTCCAGCACCTCATTCCCCAGTCTGTACATACATCCAGGGTTGCCCCATTCCAGGTGCAGAATCCAGCACTTTTCCTTGTTGAACTTCATCTGGTTGGTGATTGCTCAGTATTCTAATTTGTCTTGGTCTCTCTGCAGGGCCTCCTTGCCTTCGCGGGAGTCAACATCTCCTCCCAGTTTTGTATAATCTGCAAACTTGCTTAGTGTAGCCTCCAGTCCTGTGTCCAGGATGAAGATGTTGAAGAGCACAGGGCCTAAGATGGAGCCCTGTGGAACCCCACTAGTGACAGGTCACCAGTCTAATGTTACCCCATTGACTATTACCCTCTGTGCTCAACCCATGAACCAGTTGCTCACCTACCACATGATGTGTTTATCCAGCTGAGTGCTGGACATTTTGCCCAGAAGGATTCAGTCAGAGACAGTATCGAAAGCTTTACTGAAATCCAAAAAGATTACATCAGCTGGCTTCCCCTGATCAGCTAGCTGGGTTACCTTGTCATAAAAGGAAATCAAATTTGATACACAGGACTTTCCTCTCATGAAGTCATGCTGGCTGTGACCAATGACTGTGTTGCCTTTCAGGTGTTTTTCAGTACTTTCCAGAATAACCTTCTCCATAACTTTACCAGGCACTGAAGTGAGATTGACGGGCCTGTAGGTTCCAGAGTCCTCCTTTTGCCATTTTTGAAGGTTCACTAGCTTCCAGTCAGCTGGAACTGCTCCAGATTCCTAAGACCACTCAAAAATCATGTACTTAAGGGTTTTCTAGAAGTTTTATGTGTAGTTCCAGTGAGAAACAACAGTTTATCTCAAATACATATGAAAAAATCCTGTATGTAAGCTTCATGTTTTGAATATATTTTAGGTTAATTCAGGAAACCCATGTGATGAATTTGCTCTAGAACCTCAGGATAAAATTCATCTCACCCATCTGTAATTGGCTAAAAGTCAAATGTCTGATCTAGGTTCATTGCATTAAGGTACTGTTGTAGTCAATGAAGACAAGCATTTTCAGCAGCACTTCATTTCCTTGTCAAACGGATATGCAAAACTGCTGGAATTAACACCTAGTATGAATTTTGGATGATAGGAGTCAAATGAGATTAATCCCACTGGTTTTGCTCTTTATATTTATATTGTACATTTTGTACATTTATGGAAACTTTGCTTTGTGTTCCCACATCCTTGCTATAGATGGCATCAACATTGCTCTGTTATGTTGGATTATTTAATTACTATTGTTAAAATAAAACTCAGACCATATGGTTGAATTCAGTGGGAATACCTGCCCGAGTTTTCAGACCTTTCAACATTAGGAATGACTGAGAAGTCGCCACTCCTGGTTAGAAGTGTCAGAATAGGAATAGGACTCATAAAAGAAATTACCTCTGTGAAACATATCTTGGTGTTTTAATTAGTATTTAATTTCAGTTTTCTATTCATTTGAGAGAGAATTCGTTTTGTGAAGAACCTTGACACAGATTAAGTTTGTTTATCTCTTTGGTGCTGTAAAAATATTGATCTGGAACTCCACTTTTTTGTGGATTTGATGGTAATACAAGTATTTTACTGCTACAGCAACAGAGCCATTCTTATATGAATCCTGAAAATGTTTCTGTGTTTACTGAGCTTCTTGCTTGATGTTTTGTAATGGATTTCTGAAATGGAGGTTCCTTGATCCAGTTACTCTTAATGTAATAACTTTTAGAGACAGCACTGTAGAGTGTATCTTTGTTTGTTATACTAAATAGTTGCAGGGTGATCTTTTTGTTTTGGTATGGTTTTAGTATAGTGATCTGTTATATATTTTTAATTTGGTATAGTATATTGAGTGATATTTTTATTTGGGTGGAAACACTCAGTGGATGTCATCCACACTGTGGTGCCTTTTTCTAAGGATCCTGTGAAGTATAACTTAACCTACTGTGTCATATCAGATCTTTGGCACTTGCTCTTAAGCCACTTTCTCAGATTAACAAATATTCCTGTCTAGGAAACTGTCTAGGGTTGCTTGTACTCAATGTCCAAAGACCCTACAATATGCCTGGATTTTTCTTGTAAATGGTCCTAAATATATATTCCAGGAAAATTAATATTACATATTAATAAAGATTAGGATAATGCATTTTTCTTACTAGCTGTCATATAAGCAATGTAGAGTTGGGAGGTCTATTTAAACAAAGGAAGCAAAATTGGGGGGTTTTTTTGGCAGCAATTACAGTGTACCCAGTGACACTTCTTTTTTTTTTCCCTTAATTGTGATGGAACTGCAGTGGAAAACTTATTTGAATTAATTGTGTTCACAGTGATTTTTTTAGATGATTGACTAAGCATGAAACTCATGGAACCATTAAAAGTCAAAGACAAACCTTGTTGGAAGGCAACGTGAGGAAAGAAAGCCCAGCTTAATCCCTCATGATTCAGTGAGCTGTACAGCATGAGGGGAATTCAGACAAAACACTGGCATCAGGTAAAGGGATATTTGGGTTTTTGCTGTTTTATAGGTAAAAGAAATGATACCATTACACAAAAGATACTCTAATACAAATGAAAGATCTTGGGGCATGCTTGCAGATAGTGTCAGACTCAGAACCATTTCTATCTTTTAGCTTGTGCGGTCAAGCTGTACAAACATCAGCTCTCTGTAATTTTCAAAGTTACTTCCTTTTACTTTTTGTAAGTTCTTGTCTCAGTTTGAAAAGACTGGAATGTTTGCTAAAGAGGATGAGGTATGAGATAGACCAAACTTCTCTCTCTCAGCAATTGTAAGTTTAAAATTAAGGGTGCTTTAATCGAGGAAGTGTGGAAAAACAGAAGAAATAACAACCCTTTATTAAAAGATATATGTATATTGGCAAGAACAGTAACAGAACATAAAAACAACTGAACAATGGTCCTGTACCCAGAAGTTCCCTTCAAACAAAAGAAAAAGTCTGAATACTTCTCTGTCTTTTAGCGCAGTTCTAATCACGGTCGGCAGGGGGCGCTGTTGGGTCGCTGGAGGTGCAGAGCCTGCAGTTCCCTGTGGTGACCTGCAGGGGGCGCTGTTGGGCTCTGGCGGTCACCACGCGAGGAGGGGGTCTGGGGGGTGGTCTTGGATCGCGGGAGAAGCCGAAAGGAAAACGGAGACCCTTCCCCCAATGGGAGAAGGGCAGAAGGAAAAGCAGTTCACCCCTACGGGACTCACTGTTGTTCCCAGATGACGGTGTTCCAAGGCTCTTCCCTTCTCTCTCAGCAAGCACAGACCTCTACGATGAAAACCCAGTAGGTCCCAGATGGAGTCATGAGGCAGTGTGTGAGCCGACCGAGTCTGGTGGTCCGGCCTCACCAGGACAAAAAGCAAGAAAGACAGACTTCCAGGCCTTCTGTCCAAATGCCCGCAGACAGATCCCTGTCTCCATCCCAGAGAGTGAACTCCGCCGTCTGCCTCTCTCCCCTCCGAGCAGAGCCAGCCACCCCCTCCTAAAACTCCTCCCCTCTCCCCCCAGTCTCTGATGGGCCATCAGTGAGAAATGCAGCCTGGCTAGCTAGTTCTTTTGTAAGGCTAATTAACTCCCTTCCCCCTTTCCATTCAAACTCCATCTTTCCTACAATGGGGGGGCAGGGGAAAGAAAAATTCTCCTGAATTTCTAACTTATAACATTATCCACCCCTAATTTTTCTTTCCCATGCTATCACACTTTATCAGATTAAGTCTTTGAACTTCATACGTACATGCATTATTCTATCTACACATCCACTAATAGGTAGATACGAATACAGATACAGATACAGAGTTACATACAGATGCAGATACAGAGTTACAGCCAGTTCACTCGAAAAAAAGGTCCCCTCGAGGTAT